TTTCGTATCAACGGCGACTGCAGTAAAAACGTCACTTTTTAAATGAATTACCATTTGTTCCGAAACTTGGTCGCGTTTATTCCAGTTCGCTGAAAATGTCGAATGGAGGCGAGTTGAGAAGTGATTTCTTGAGGACCGCACGCACGTTTAGAAAGAGAAAGAAAAATTTGTCGTCGCTTGTTTACGTCCTCCATGAAACGTAAAATCAGGCATTTTCACGTCGTAGTCGTGCAGTGACGGCAACGAAATGTACAAAAAAAGCGTGATGCACGTGCAAAATTGTTGTTTTGTTTAACAAACCAATTGCTTTTTTGTCTTTCTCGTTGTTGTCGCCGTCGCAAAGCTCCGCATTAAAAAGTACTGAAAAAAAAGTCTTTTCTTGCTAAAGTCAAATTAGGAAAAGTCCCTACTACTAGCCTGCGTTTTGTTTGTCGAGCGCCCAAATGAGAGGGCCAAGGAAACCGTCAGCTACACCTAATACATGCAGTCGAACTTCCTGTAAGCGCCAATCAGCCAAGCTACGATGATTAAGTGGTCAGTTACGAGAATCGAACCACAGCGGGTATAATAAAATAATCTACTTTTTGGAAGAGATTTTGTTGCATGTGATTTCTAGTTTACGATGTGTAAGTTACATGTTGTCACTAACAGTTCTTCGTCTACTCTGCAACGGAAACATAGAAAACAGACTATGCGCCGAGAGATCGCTTACAAGAGGTAAAAAAAAAATGGAAAATAATGTAGCCGACACCGCCATAAGTAGTCGCGTTCGCTTATGACACCTGATTGGGCGATTCCAAAAGGAAGGCTCTTATATCTTATTCCTCGAGAGCTTTCTCAAACCGTGAGCACAGCTTTAACATTTCATCTTAGGTATTTCGAGAATGGACCTCTGGAACCAAGGTATCACTGATAAGAAGTAGTCGCACATGCAGGTTCGACTATATTAAATTATAATTTAGTAATTAACTTTCAATTAAACAATCACTTTCGGAAATCCCTTTAAATAAAAAATAATGGGTTCATAAAAAACTATCCACACTAGCTTTAACTACAGGAGAAAGTAGCCTGTATAGCTAAGGGTTTGTTTGGCGAGAGGGGAAAAAAGCTGCGCAAAAGGGCGTGAACGAGCGGCGATAGCAACCGAGACCTAGGAAGGCTACAGAGTAAATTGAAGAGGGATTAAATATAGTCTGCATAACAGCCGTTTTTCCTTCGCGTTTTTCAGGCGAGCGTTTTTCACGGGTGTCCGGCGCTCCTCGTTCGCGTCACGATTACCTTCACACGCCTGAAGAACGCCAAAAACGCCTGTTATGCAGGCTGAATGAAAAAATACCGTGAGATCCTTTGTAAAACACGGAGAAAAAGTTGATAGCGATTGTGAAAGCGTAGAAGATTGGAAGCGACTTTAAAGCAATTTCAAATGACATCATCTGAAAGCAGAAACGAAAAAGAATTAAAGGCACATTTATTTTTATGGGCATAAGTTCTGCTAAATTTTGGACATCTAGCTCATGTCAACTCAGTATTAGGCCAATTAACACTAGAAATTTGTTTTAAAGATTAAATCTGAGGTGAACTCATTAAAGGGGCTTTATCATGCCATTTGCAGCAGTGCTTAATTTTAATGGCAAGCTATGTGTCTTCACATTATTTAATTCTAAAAAAAGTGGCCCTGTTTTGTTATTTAAGACTTTATTTAGGCATTGAAATTGTTTTCTGTAGTCTGTTGCTAGGGATGGCAATGATGGACATGAATTGAAATTTGAAAAAGTTTGGCAAACTGTTGTAAGTTTTAACGCCATGCCTGAGGAAACCCACCTTTGACAAGATGAAGCGACGAATGATTACAAACAGGACAGAGCTTACAATTCCTGACATGAGAGGAGAGATAACCCATGATGCAGCTATAACAAAAAAGAAATGAAGCTGTAACATTACATGCACACATATTTTCTTGTTGTCTGTGCATCATTTAGACCGTTACGTAATGTGAACAAGTAAAATTGACACTTTGGATCATTACACGTTTCTGGGAAACTGCCCCACCTACCCCTCCCCTAAGCCAACATAAACACTTACTTCTCACTTAAGGCAAAATGGTGGCTTAGGGGAGGGGTAGGTAAGCAGTTTCCCAGTTTCCAACATTTTTATGTGTAATAGCCCTTTCCTGTATTCCTTCAAACAATAAGAAACCCAGGGAGCCAGGGGGGATAATAATGGCCTAGATGGGGAGGCTCCGCCCAAAGGGGTACCTTTTTCAGGCTTTAAGTATATGAAAAGGGAGGGATTTCACAAGGTGAAGTATAAGAAGGGGAAGGGAAATCTGTCAGTGTGGTCTGTGCAAGTACCTAAAAGGGCTGACAGGTACAATTTATGGCTGTGAAAAAGACCAGAAAACTTCCTTTGTTAGTGTGATTTATTCATAGTTAAAAGACTGTTCATTTAGAGCATTTAAAAGGTATGCCGTGTTCTTAACTAGTTTGTGAAAGGGGAACCACTTGTCAATAAATGTTATACAAAAGAGGCACCTTTTCTGTCCAAAACGGTAATATATGAAAGGCTAAGGGGTTGAACCTTTGGGCAGAACATCCCCGTATCAAACTTTATTGAGTACATTACCATTTTTGTATTTTTGCTTTTTTGCAAGTTCTCATATTTAACTGTGCTGTTCGATGTTTTCAACTGACCTCATTTTTGACAGAGTTATATTATAAGTATAAAATTTAAGCTTTAATTTATGAGGACACCAGCTTATAATATTTTCTATGCAATGCAGACATCTCAGCTCTGCATTGATGGCCAACAAATAATTTATAAAGGTGTATTGAATTTAGGTGGTCATGTTCATATACATACCCTAGCTATTAAAAATAATCTCACCGATCATTCCAAAAGTTTTCCACTGAATCCCTTTTATTCCATGTGCCACTAATGCATAACCCATCGTTGCTCCCACAACACTATGTGTCCCAGAAACAGGAAGATTAAAGAACGTGGCAACTATCAGCCAAATTCCTGTCCCACTTAAAGCACTGAGAGAACCAATCATAGCAAGCTGTTCCGTACCATTAAAGGAATTAATGTCTATGATGCCCTTTCGAACTGTATCTGTAAAATCAAATTTGAAAAATTTGAGGATATCAGAAGATATAGTTCAAACAACCACAACAATTACTGAACATGCTTCATTGAGTTATAAATTTATGCATGTTCACTATTATATTAATCCTTTGACACAAAACAATCAGGTTCAAATTGGAGTAAAAACAAAAAGGGTTTTTTATGATAAACTTCTTGTACAAAATATGAACAATTATTTTTACATTGGTACACTAAAAAATGTTCTTTGCAAGAAAATCAATATTAATCAATTAACAAACTTTAACAAGCAATGACCTGGACTCCTGGAGGTATTTTTCTCTTTAAAAGGCTGAAACAGACCAAAAAAATTGCGAAGGAATCCAACCGTAAAGCGAGCATCAGTTATCCGCCTTTTATGCACATTCCATGACAGCAATGTTTATTCAGGTTCTCGATAATTGTCAAAAATTGGCGCTTATCGCATATAATAGGCTGAACAGTTTTGATGAAAAAAGTTCTAATTTTCAAGGTCATAGTTCACATTCGCGATTGAACCGTATATAAAAACCAGCGATCCGCACGTGGAATGCGGCCAGTGAAAAAGATATTAATCCGCGCTATTCCAACGAAAATACCACCCTTTAATCGCAGCCAAATATGAAATATAATATGAATTTATTCTGTTGGGGCAAAGCGCTGAACTACTGTGGTTTTTTGCTATATAGAAGGTTCAGTATTAATTGCATAACAATAGGCTTATATAAAGCTTGAGCACAGAATATACTTATCGCATACCTGAAACTCTTGCCCCAATAAGAATAGCTCCAGCAAGCTCAAAAATGGTGGCTATCACACAAGCCTGTCGTAGAGTTAATACTTTGGCTCCAACAGAGGTCCCAAACGAATTTGCTACATCATTTGCTCCAATACCAAAAGCTAAGATGAAAGCGACAATGAAACCGACCACAACAACCCACAAATAATCGGAATCGTACGGCTC